TCTTTAACATTTTCATGCTATATGCCTTCTAATATCCCTTATTGCATCCTTTATAACTTTATCTCTTAGTATAGTTACTCTCAAATTAAATATCAAAAAGGAGGAAAGAGAAGGCAGTTTGTATAGAGGGAGGTGGCATAAATCTGCTAACAGGGGTCATTAGACCGGACAAATGCCTTTCTCCCCTGAGTTTCCTAGATAAGGAGAACCTATCTAGTAGTTAAAAATTCCAAGAGTCATTCTGGATAGCATTACCGACCCCCCTGGGTGTTGCTGCAGAGTTCATGCCCTGTTTCATCAAATACTCAGTGACATTCACCAGGGGCCATGCTAATTATAGGGATTTAGCAGACAATGTCTAAGAACATTTCATCACAAAATAGCATGTCTTTGTCTACAAGTATTGGTTTGTTGATGTGCTAAGTTAGCAAAAAATTGGAGATAAAATGATTCTGCAGTTTGTTAGTGTATCTTTATAGCAACATTAATCAACATATTGAAATGTTGAGGTACAATCACCCCTGCATTTAGTGCCAGCAGTACAGTGCTGTTTTGCAATTACATGGAGGAGAAAGGATCAGTGTAGCTTAAAAATTCATGGATTATACATTAGTTCAATGTCTTCTAACCCAATTGTTTTAATGAGCTACATGGTTGATTCACTATAAAACATTTGTCTTTACTTATGCCAGACCATTTCAGTACTCTCTCGACTGTAATCAGGTGGGAGGGGAGGGTGTAAAATAAGGGATGCAAATCAAACTTCCATTTTGCTTCACTCCAAGTTGAATTGATGTTTGATTCTCAGAGAGAAAAGCTTGTGATTGCAAAGTGAAGTCCCTTATTCAGGGCTAAGTGCAGAAACAGTCATAAGCAAAGGCTCAAGTTCGCTTTACCTGAGTGCAAGGCATCAGCTTTCTTGTACAATAGGCAGGGACAGGGTCTCTCAGAAAGCTGTAAAACAGCCAGCTTCTGAACAGCCTCACCTCAAAGGGCTGTGAAGAAAAATACATTTTATAGCCCTCCCAGCAGAGAGTGGCTTAGTCTCAGAGGTCATTTTGCCATTGTCACTGAAAGCCTTTCTGGGATGCTGGTACATGACTCACTTGCAAAATGTTGGCAGTGATAGTGTGGTATCTTCAGTGTTTGGGTCTCAGTCTGACCCAGTCACTGCAGCACAGTCCATAGCCATGTTTTAACTCTATTTTTGAAAGGAACAATTCCAGCAGAAAATATGCAGTGTCTCACTCACAGTAGCTTATGGGGTGGTGCCACTGTACTATCCAGGTAGCTGATGGACAGGAGGGTCACATCAGTACCACTCTGATCCTAAGAATACCCCAAGTGTGGTGTTTTGTAGAAAACATGTATCACAAATTTATTTCTCCATCAGATTCATAAGGAGATTTATAGAAGAGTGTTTATTTACATAATTTGAAGGATTCTAGGGATGTATAAAATCGAATCTAATTTTCTGTTTCCTCTATGTCATATAGTTTTTACATACTGTACTTAGTTTCTATATTGTGGAATAACTTGAAATTAGCAGTCAATATCTCTATCTGATACATATGTTTCTATGTATACATTAAAATGCATTAAAAATTTTTCATCAATTTACAGTAGTTATAATTAGTTTATTAAGCATATGTGTATGGAGGTGTCCTGTAAGGATGGACTCAGTTGCAGAGGTACCATACAGTACAGACATTATAAAATGACTATTACTGCCTTTTACTGGCAGCAGTAGTCACAAGTAATTACTTCATTAATAAAAATTTTGGAGTGGAATTCAAAGTACTTTAAGAGGACATTAAATTAGCTTATATGAAAATATATGGATGGTCATTACCTCAACCACCTACCAACCACCTTGGAGAATAACTTCAGGTTGGCAAAAATCTGTCAGATATATTAATGATGACACAAATAGTAGTGAGATGAATAGGAACAAATGATGAAGCAGAAGAATTTGAATTAACAAATAGCTAGGGAGACCGCCACCAAAACCTGGTGCACAGCATAGAAATCATTTATCTTTGAATTTCAGGAATGTTTGACTTTTCTAGTAGATGTCTCGATCATTAGGCAGATATTGCTGTTTCTTCCTACTTCCCCCATCCCCCTTCTCTTTCTTCACCCTTCTTTCTCCTGTTATTAATATCTTTTCTGCACTGAGGTTCTTTTCATTTGCCTATTTATTCTTTTCTGAGAGTGGTTTGTAAGAGGCATTTATCTCATGCTCTGTGTTGTAGCATTTGTTTGCAGAGCTCCAAGGGCACAGGCAACACTGATCTCTAAGATATGACTGCACTGGGGTGCATAAAGTGTTTGAAACTATTGTGACACTTCCTGTATCTTAATTGCAGCTTCTCTCCTTCTCCAAAGCAAAGAACCTGTAGTTATTACATGGTAAGATATAGAAGTGGAAAATGATTTGATAGTGGACAGGAAGGAGAGCTTCTGGATCCAGCTCTCATCCTTCTGCATTCACACAGGATATAACAGCTTTTATTTACTTGGTCTATTTTATGGTGCCTGACACCTGTAAGTTTGAGTAACATAACCATATGATTTTTGTAAGTATCTTCTACATTTGTATCTTTTTGATTAGATGGTTGAAATAGGAGATATTTAGTTCTATGACAGCTGAACTCCCCTTTGCATTTATTTCTCTAACCTCCTATTAAAAAATCTTCTTGTAATATCCTATTACTGCAATTTCCTTTCTTTTTAACTGTGAGGGAAAGGCAGAATGCTTCTAGCAAGCTCACTGAAAGCTGTCAAATAAATGCACTGGCAGACATGTTTGTGTTTAATGGCTTCAATGAAGTGTTACTGACAAATCTAATCATAAAAGTTTTTGCAGATACACTCAAATCCAGACTATGCAAAGTGAGATCACATAATCACACAAGGTTTCGCTTTCCAAAGTTTGCTGTTTGGGATTTGGTTGGGGTTTTTGTTTGTTTGTTGGGGTTTTTTTATTTTTAAATAAAAAATCTCCTAATGAGCGCATTTGTAGGTGTAAGAGCTTATTAGAAATTTAATGCAATTTTTAGTTTTTTAATGCAAAAGACCATGAGGTGAAAATGCTAAGAGTCTCTGGAGTGTGGAAGTGATTTCTAAATTATGGTGCTGAGAAGCCATTGCTTTAGTTAATAAATCAGAGAGTGGTTCAAAGGCATACAGATTTATATTATTTGTATTTCCTCCTAAAATATTTCATTATTCTTGTCTACAGAGAACAGAGACTTTGATCAGTTTTTAAGTTACTATTTTCCACTCATGAGAAATGAACATTGTATATAAAATTTTCTTCCTGGAGATGGTCCTAGAGAGAACACCCATCTTGTTTTTGTGAGAGTCCTAGGGAAGCTGCACTCAGTTACACTCTAGTAAAAACAGCCTGGCATACAGAACCCTGTGTAAAGGGAATGTATACAGTTTTATAAATGGGATTTTCCTAAAACCTTTTGCAGTTAAAGGAATGTAAAACATGTATTTAAAAAAAAAAATAAAATAGAGGATTATCTCCAAAGCCGTTTTCCTGTGGGTATTCATAAAGGGTAGAACCATTTCAAATGCTCGCTCACCTATAGGATTTAGATTTCTTTTTTCCAAACTAACTTATTGCTTCAGTATATGTGTGCTTAATGGGCTTCTGTGACATGAAAGTGCTACAGGGACTCATTGTCTTCATCTCTTCCTGCTGTCCTTTAAGTCAATATTAGTTTATAGAGAAGTGTCACAGTGCAATTAATTTGTCCTTCAAAGAATTCAGATTAATAAATTGGTCTCTTTCTCTCTCTCCTCCTCTCTTTTTCTGCACGCTTCATGGTGAGGTAAACATTTGCGACAGCCAAAACTCAAAAGATTGAAAGATCTAATTCAGAATGGGTGCCCCAAACAGGATGCTTATCTTAAACATACAAATTTATCCAAACCTTTGCAAGTTTACCTTTTTCTATGTGCCATTATTTTCTTTCCACTTCATTCAGACTATGCTCCTTACCCTCATACTTTTTTTTAAATAGTTCTTTTTGTTTAATATGGATTAAATAATTATTTTCAAAACTCCTCCAGTCTTCACTGTACTGAGAAAAATGCAAACAATTTCTGGGTTCATTAAATCTCAGATAAATACTTTCCTGCCTCTCTGTGACTTCCAGTAGTCCTCTTTAATTCTCTGTTTTGCTGAAATCTTTCCCCACATCTCGGAGAGGCTAACAATCTCCTCTGCACAGGCTACCGTTTTCAGATCTTGTTAGTTCTTGGGAACCCCATGGAGACACCAAGTGTCAGGTTGTGAATGAAGTAGGCTACCAGAGGGGGTGGCAGCTCAGAGGCATACACCTCATCCGTCACATTGCACTTTAAGATCAGGGCATATATCAGGTCAGGTAACTCACTGGGACAGGTTAGGGACTATGGATCCTCTTGAGGTTTATAAGGTAGAAAGGAGAAGAATGGAATGGAAGTCTAGGGACAAAAGAACAGATGCATCTCAAAGGACAGAGGCAAAAATCTTAAAACAGGAAGAAGCCAAGCTTCTCTGAACTTTTTCAGAAATCCTTGACTCTTTCACTGATCTCTACCTTCATTTATAATTCCTTATTTTTTTAGACATCCTTGGCTCTGTCCTATGACTCCAGAGAAACTTGCACCCTCTTTTAAATCTGATTCTCATTCTGCAATATGGAAAGATAATGGCAGAGATGTTGCCGTCACTTTTTCTCTCCTACTTTATTTAGACATGAAGTTGTTTTTTGCATACCTTTTGTTCTTCTTGTCCCTTCTACCAGGAGTACAAACAGAATTTTCTTCAGACTGTAGCAAATAAGACATAAGGAACATACCACTGTGATAAATTTCTAAGTTTCAATGTTCCCAATGTTCAATGTTGCTTTGCTTTGATCTGGGAGGGGAAGGGAGGATGTTGTTTTGAGGACTAGATGACCAGCACCTCTGAATGCAAAGATGGAAGTCATTCCCGTTGGAATCTATTCCTTGGGCTGTTACTGTGGAGTAAGTGGTAAGTGATAATAGCTGCAAGTATGCAGTTGCTGCTGTATCCTGATGAAATATACTTAATGAAACCTAGCACTACAAAGAATTTTTGACACGTGTGGTTATTAACAGACTCAAATAATTTTCAGCCTTTCATATAGACTCACAGAATATTCTGGATTGGAAGGAATTCACAAGGATCATTGAGTCCATATTTAAAGTGAATGCTCTGTAAGGGGTTCAAACTCACTACCATGGTGTTATTAGTACCATGCTCTGGCCAACTGAGCTCATCTCAGGTGTACTGGAAGGAGAATAAAACTTCTCTCTAAATGAAATATTGCATGCTCATTACAGCAGTGTCTTGATAATAGAGATTCAGACCTCTTTAGGAAGAGGGAAAACCAAGTTCAAGTTACCACATCCTAATGTTTTACCAAAACCTCTAGAGAAAACCCAGAAGCACAAAGATTCTGCAGTGTAACTACAAATAGAACTCATCCCCTTGAAAAGAAATAGTCACTACATGATCAGACCTGCAACTTCTGGAAGTTCCTCATTTTTGTAGAGATTTTGCATCCAAAATAGAAGGGTTCAGTGATTGCTTACAAAACAGTGATTGCTTTTTGTATTGTATACAATCCAAAAACTCCAAACCATGTTAATCAGTTTCCTGTATGGCAGTACTCAGGAAACATAAACTTAGATCTTCAAGGAGTTCTTGAAGATTTCAACTTCAAGGGGTTGCACAATAGCACCCTGTTCACTGCCTGAAGAAAACAACACTAATTATTCACAGAATCACAGAATCCCTTTGCTTGAAAAAAAGTCCAGACATGAAGTCCAGCTGTTAACCCAGCACTGCCAAGCTCACCACTAAACCATGACCCCAAGGGCTACATCCACACATCTTTTAAATACCTCCAGGGTTGATGACTGTGACTTCCCTGGGCAGCCTGTTCCAGTGTTAAACAACACTTTTGGTGAAGAAATAATTCCCAATATGAAATTAACTAATCCTAAACTCAGAGATTACTTCTTGAACACAGGCCTCTTTGAAAGTGCTGTGCTTGTAGCCTCATGCTTTTTGTGGTCTTCTTGATATAGCAGCAATGGGGAAATTACTAAGAAAATAGAGGAAATTATTAATCAGAGGTTAACATGAGAACTCACACACTTCACAGAATGACAGAATGGGTCAGATTCAAAGGGGCTACTGTGGTGCAACCCCATCTTGTGCAACCTCCCTGCTCAAGCAAGGTTATCCTAGAGCACATGGCACATGCATCTGATTTCTTTTTATTAAACAGCAAAAATACATAACATAGAAAATGTTAAAAGGAAAATATGTAAGCAGATTCTCTTTCCAAAGCTCTGCAAAAATGTAATAATTAAAAAGAGAACATTATATATTTATTAATAGTTTTTTCTCTTGTTGATGCAAAAACCATGTCCCATCCTAATTTTGTCAGAGTACTAAAGTCCTATTATTGTTTTATAATCTCTGCTCAAAGTGAATAGAAACTTTCAGGACATAGAACTCCATAAGACAAGATCCATATCCCTTTACATATATGTAAGCCCTTAAAACAAAAATGCAGTCATAGTTATCAGAGTATTTCCTACAGGTATTAATATTCATATATATCAAGTGACTAAAGCTTATATAAATCATGAGTGAGCATCTCAGTCCCACCGTCATGGTTTAATCCAGGTCTTAAGCTTCTGAAGGAAGAGAAATACTCTCTCAAAGGTTATTTCCATATCTGCCAGTCTCTTACATAGATGACATTACAGGTGGTAAAATATGCTCTTCTGAGCAGGCAAAATAAAGGATGGTCCTGTTAGAAAGTTAGCTGGCAAAGTTTAAAAAATTACTTGACATTTTCTGGTGAACAAACTTATGTGCAAACGTTGTTAAGCAAAATATACATCCTCTGCAAGTTCACACTCATTTTATGGTAATTTATTTATTAATACATAATGTAAAGTACCAGTTATTCAAAGTGCTATTTTTTTTAAATTATCCTTGGAAATGGAATGAGGGATCCAGAAACACTTCCCTATTGTTAGATCTATGATGGAGGCAAAAAAAGGAGTTGATATAAAAGAGGAAATAGGGAAGGAAATGTAGTGCAAGTTCAAAGTGAACTTGTGGCAAGCTATCAGTTGGGGATCTAGGCAAAAGAAAAGTGGTAACTAAGCTTGATACTAGGGCTGGATGATAATTTGATAATATTGCTATAATGTTGTTTTTTCCTGAGGTAAGATGTAAAAGCAAAACAGCAAACATCCTTTTTTAAAAAAAACAATTTAAAAATTCTTTTCTTTAATTAATCTATCATCATTTATCACAATTAATTATTGCAGTGTCTCCCCTCTCTTTCTAGCTAAAGTGTTTGTTTTATAATTGTCAAAAACATCTTGACAAAAATTTTTACAACCAGAATTCAGAGTTGAATCCCCTTCTTGTGGGATTGTCTCTCTCTTCAATATTTAGGACATTTTAGATTGAAAATATTGGTAGGAAAATTTATAGATCCATTGTATGTAAATGTGAAAGAAAAAAATACAACTCTGCTAGTCTCATACTATTTGCTATTAATCAGTTCTAAAGTATGGACATCTGATCTTGAAATAGAGAGTTTATTTACCTGTGTCTAAAAACTAGGTGTTCCCCTAATTAATGCAGCATCATTTAAAAACTAAGTTAAAGGGGATTTTCTGATGAAGTTGTTAGCTTTACTGGTGAGACATAGTACTACAATTCCTGCAGCAAACAGTCATTTTTTTCCTAGCTACTTATTCTAGTCAAGCTGAGATCAAACATCCTGACTGTTTTTGGCAAAAGAATCTCTGAAGCTTATTTAATTATTCTGCAATATTACTTACTGTTTGGCTTCTTGGGACTTTGCACTGGTTTTACTCAGTACTCAGCTGGAACCACTTTCCAGGAATTTCACTAGAAGATTTTATTGCCAGTTTAATCTCCATTTCTTTCATTTTTATTGTTTTCCTGTGATCCTATTTTCCACTTTTTTTTTCAATTTTTAATTTGTGTAGCAGAGATTCTTTATCAATCAGAAGCACTACAATTGTTCTTTATATAGGGACTTACCTGTCTCTTAGGGGTGGATATTAATGTTATGTCTGGGAATAAATTTATGTTTAGATTTTCTGCTTTATGAATTTGGCTGTATTATACAAAAGGAGAAAGTATTGAATCCCCTTATACACAGCCTTACCTAATGCTTAATGCTTAAAGCAAATGTCTTCTTTTTTTGTTTTCTTTTGCCATTCCTCTCCTTGTGTTTTAAGTCCACAGTATCTGTTAGATAGATTTTTATGACAGAAGTTAATTAATTTCTCCTCTGATAATAGAAAGTAAAAACCTGAGCTTAATTCTTCATTTGAGCTGTTTACAGTTTACTTGTAACACCAAACTGAAAAATACAGTATTTACAAGCCAGAGGAACTGCAGATAGAATTAAGTTGGGTGAGTTACCCTGCCATTTTGATACTGGAGAGTATTTGGTGAAATGGTGGGACAGACTGCTATTTTGCAAGCTCCCACATCAAAGCATAGTGGCTTTCCTCTCCACTTTTAAAAGAAGCTGGTGGGAATTGGGGAATGATAGACAGTATTCTTGATTCAGGCCTTTGAAATTTGGATAGTCTCAACCTATTAATAAACGAAGAATATTGTGACCATATGTTTCATCTGTCCAATATTTAGTTTTAAAATCATATGATGTTACATACACACACAGGCTGCATTCATGTATCTGGGAATTGCCAGTGGTCATAAAGTAGTAACATTTTTCTTACTCTAAAATACCACATCAGAAGAGGCTGACTGCAGCTTAACAATAACTAATTTACTTTTTTTATTGTTACAAAAATTGTTGGTGATTGTGAGAGAGATACCCTACTTTTAGTTCCTCTAAAGTGGATTTTTTCTATCATCTATATTTACTCTGCTATAATGCTGATCCATAGCACTACTGAAATACATTCAATTACAATACTGAATAATAATTTATCATAGTCTCATTCCAAAATAAATGAATAGTCAGATAAAATTGCCAAGGTCAGGGAACAAGGTGAAACAGACCACCTGGTTCTGGAGCTGCATGGGGGGAATGATCTCTCAAGTAGGGACACTTAAGGTGGGGAATAGATGTTCCTGAACTGATCACTAGGACATCATGCTATTGTGAGGCTTATGATGTAGATACTGCTAAGATTGGAGATGAAAATGAGTCCTACCAGTGTGAGTTGGTGAATCTGGATAGATTTGTAAGGATACCAAAGAATCTGAACACAATCCAAGTTTTAGATTGTTTCTGTGCAAATTTGCAGCATCTGCTAGAGTTGGAACAAATCCAAAGACTGAACTGCATCCTAGCGTGGTCTCCGTTTCATGAACAAAATGAGATGGGATTGACAACAAAAATCTGACTTGGAGGGGAAAAGGATATCTTCTGCCATTAATTTGTACATGATGTATCAAAGCTGAGGCCATAAGCAGGACTGCATTCCACCTTTACAAGCCCTCTTTCCTGATTCCAAAACAATGAGGAAATTCTTCTAATCTCTGACATAAACTAATGAAGGTTAATTGCAGTTCTATCTTTTGGTTTTGTTTCTCGCTGTGAAGGTTGTTTTGTGGACAAGCATTAACTAAACTGGTTCTTTAAACACACCTTCTCTCTGGCCCTACTCTGACCTGAATTTTAGGTACAGAGCTGTCTTGCTAATGTTATGCTACTTAAGTGAGCCTTGTGCTGGAGCAAATACCTAGTGTCTTTTTTATTCATTTATGGATTCAGAGCAGATAATAGGGAGTACAATAACATTTTCCTAAATTATTGCAGAGTAGATGGCAAGAGAATTAGATCCTCCATTTTGGGAATAGAGTGCCTTTGATTTGAAAAATTTCAGAGGAAACCCACCTTAAAGTTATTCAAGAATGGCTTGTTCCTGGAAGGTGTGTGTGCTGTTCATTCACCAGAGCATGGTTCA